CAGTAAGGTTAATTTACCAACTCATGCTCTTTCTGTTTTGATGTTTGTCTGATCTTCCTGTTGACATGCGATACTAAGAGTAAGATTCTTTTTCAGTTAAACAGTAAGAGGGCCTCTGCCTTAGAGACTTATTTCTATGAGCCTGAAAGCACCACAGCAAACATCATATAATCACAGAAAAAAAAAATTGCTGCAAAAAAATCCAGGAAAATTCTTGACAAACATGAAATGAGAAATAATACGCAAAACGAACATATTTGCTAAGCAGAGCTTCCCTGTGCGTTAGTGTATCTCAACTCTGTGTGTATCAACTCAGATACAATGACATTTATCATATTACCTTCCCCCTGTCTTAGCAGATGACTGCAATAGAACATGAAAAGTGACAAAAGCACTCTGAAATCACATTCAGTGCCCCAGCCAATCCCCCAGAGTTTTATTTTCCCCTAACTAGCATGCATTGCGGGAAGCCCTGACTTGGGGAGATATTTACGAGACGGAGGAGAGTCTAATTTCCTCCCGGCCTCCGCAGGTTCCGCTGCAATAACAGAGCAAAGGAAGCCCATTTCTCCTGGGGGACAGCGAAAACCGCACTGGACAGACGGAGCGCTCTTAAAGGGAAAGGCACCCATTATTACGGTTGCTCCGCATGGACGTGGCAAGGCACAAAAGCCCTGTTTTCATCGAAATCTTTCTCGTTATGATTGAAATTCACAAAACATCATTCAAACCTGTAAGCTGTCACATGTGCTCATTGTTCCACGTTATGACTGTCCGCAACCATTTTGTTAGTCACCCCAAACCTTTATTGACCAGCAATTTGGAAAAGCAGCATTAGAATACAAACTACCCTGATGCACCCTTATATATCAATAATAAAGTAGCCTTAGTAACGGCCTTAGGGATGCTGTTTAAATATGGCTGGACCAACATCAGACTCAGCTTGGGAGAGTTAAGTCTGACAAAGTGTTAGGATGATGGAAGAAAAGAAAGAGGATCGAACTGCAGGGCGGCCTGTCCACTGGCGGGGCCGTGCCTGGGGGGGGGGGGGGGGCCCCCCTGCGGCCAGGCAGTGACCTGCCACTCTGCTTCCCAGCATCCTCGGCCCCAGCTACGGTCATGTGACAGGTATGGGGGTGACTTCCACATGCAGCAACACACTTCCTGTCCATCATCAGTGACAGGAACCAAACCAGGCCACACGGACACCCCCCAACTGCACTAAAAATACCGAAAATGACCAGTGTAGCAGGATTATTCAAATATAAAAATGTATCTATCTATGCGGCAAAAGACAGACATTTCGATGAGTTTTGACGCCTTTTTTAATACTCCTCTTCTGGTATTAAATATAGAAACTGAATTACAGCCTAAGGGCTGTGCGGACTTTAAGATCTTGTCTTAACATCTTTCTTATCCAGCTATTCAGTATAATTCTGATCCTTGCATATCACATAATACATAGGAGAATAATCTGCGTTTTAAATTAGTAAATTAGATTAAAATCTATTTTTCAAAAATTAATATACTTTCTGTAGCAAGACAGGCCAGTCGTACATGACAGAAGGGGAACAGTGAACATGATCATATCAGTGAATTGCGTAGCTAAGCAGATATCTGAATATATAAATACACACACACGTATGTGTATGTCATTTTATATATATACATATGTGTGCATGTATGTGTATGTGTTGACAAATTTTATATATATACATATGTGTGTATGTATGTGTGTGTTGACAGTTTTTGATGCTGTGTGAACAGCTGATGACCTAATTGTACGTCATTCTTCTGAGATTTACGAAGACGTTGCGTACCGCCCTTAAACAGGCATGTTTGACACTTTAACATAGTTCTGAAAAATGACTGTTGCTCTCCCTTCTGATCCTCATTTGCCACTATGATAGTTCCTTAGAGATGTATGCATTTTGTTTTTGCGCGTGCTTTAGGTGGGATGCGTGCGTGTTCCGTCTCCCTGCGACGCTCAGGCACGCTCCAGGGCGCGTGTGTGTGTGTGTGTGTTTGTGTGTGTGTGTGAGTGCCATATATTAGTAGTGGCCATATTAGTGTGGCTTGTTATAGCTGCTGAGTGTGTTCGACTGCCGCCCTGCCCTGGGGGGGGAGAACGGCCAAGCCAAGGCAGGCGAGACAAGCCGTCGCCCCAACCACCTCCCCCCCCCCGGCACCCCATGACTCTCAGGAAACCAGTGGTGGGCTGTAGAGCGAGAAAGACAGAAAGACTGAGAGAAGGGAGGGAGGGAGGGAGGGAGAGAGGGAGGGGGGAGGCGAGTTATGTGCAACGGCACCTCCGGAGGAAGAGAGGAATAAGGAGCGAACAAAACAAGACTGAGAACGCGAGAAGATAAGAAACGAGAGAGAGAGCCGGGGAACTGGGGGCCAAAAATGACTTTGTGCTTTTTTCACTATGCGGCTTTGCTTTCCAATATAATAAAGTGTGAATAAAAACAAATCATTATTTGGAATCGTGGCCAAACAGGCCAACAATCAATCTGCTTGGACTCTTTTTCAGATGTAAGTATTATGTAGCAATATTAAGGAATAGCGTGTCGCTACCTCCATATAAGGCCCCACTATTGGCACATTCATAACCAGAACAAAGAGCAAATATAACCTGCTTACTGACTCTGCTTGGCAAGGCAAGCTAGCTGGTTATCAGTAGTCTATTCTTCTAAGTCGAGATCAGTGATGCAGCTCAATATTTACCAAGCCTGCTTACTTCTTCAGGTCCAGTTTATTTAACTGAAACGGACTGACACAAACTGACCTTCTTCTGAAATATGTATCATTTAAAGCAGAAACGGTACGCTGACCCCAAAGCAATGCTGAAAAACCTCTCATTGTCTCATTGACTTTATATTGGTGCAACCTAACATAACATGACAAAAGAATCCACTCATCATTATCTAAGTCACATTTGAAAATAACAGAGGTAAGTTTAACAAATACACATCCTTAACAAGCATGGGATCATCGGCCACCATGGAAACCAACCTGAAAAATAAAACAATATCATATTTCGAAAGTTATACTCAGAAACGTTTTCAGGTTCTTTTGTACAGTAGAACCACCTCTATGCTGCTCGTAACATTTCTCTTCCCTGAGATCAACACGTTAGGCCTGGTCTCAAAATCCAAGCCTAAAACTGCAAAATACATTCTTACAGTACAAATCTGGTACAGTGAATGTTTTTTTTTAAACTATCCAGAACTCCATACTCCTGTTTTTGTGAAGAGGTAACCTTAAATCTTCATGTCAATAACTGTGTAGCGATTCAGACTCACTCACCAAGAGAGGCTCTGGATTGTTAACAATGACGCTAAGACTGTTAGCCTGCGATATCAGGGCCTGTGATGCAAGAGCTCAACATTCACCTCGTCTTTGGGCCTCTCCGTGAAACTCTGTATGTTCTTCATATGTCAATGAATATTTCTGCAAAACTATTTAACAATTATTTTGTCTCCATTGGTCCCAGGTACCTTACCTCACATACCTTATTACTTAACTGTGGCTGAATATTACTGCATTCAGCCTAAATAGCACCACTTTCGTCAGATTGATAAAATCACAGTAAAGCAATGTTCAACAAAGTTCACTAAACCAAAATCACCATTAATGAATGTCATCATTATATAAGCAGAACACTTTGTTCGATGCAATTTCCTGGAGTGAAATACACATAATGTTCTCATTTGAAAAATTAGCCCACATGTTAATGCATTGAGCAGCATCATTTGGATACATTTAGCATATCTAAACCACCTTTACGCATCACTGCACTAACAATGAGAACAGACAGCCATGCTCTGCAGCTCCATAAGCTTCTTACTCTCCAGATTAAATGACGGAGGTAAAACAGAAAATGCTCCGTTCATGAGGAAATGGGTCCCTGTAACAAGCACATAGTCCCTGGACCACAAACCAAGGCCTCTAATGGGAACAGGCTCCCAGCCTGCTGGGAAATCTCACCCACCCACCTTCCAAGGCAATAAGTTCAGCCTATTACCAGCACAACGCCAGGTCAGACACAATGCAACATATGTAATATTTGCTATATGAGAAGACACTTTTGCCTACAATAACCAACTGTAACCAGTTTGAGAAGCTAAATATTCAGCTTAGGTTAAGCTTCATTGTCACTGGTACAACAGCAGTGACCCTCATGATATTTTAACTAGCAGCCTTCTGATAACAAGTTCGATGGTGTAACTAGAGGTCCAGACTGCAGCCAATGATCAAGAAGGTCTTTGGGGTACGTGTGACATCACCTCGTTATTAAGACAATGCCGTTTAAAGTATCTGTCATAAAACCATGTGGTCTAGCTCATTTCGCAGGATTTAAGGTATAAAATAGCTTCCTTCTTAGGCCACAATCTTTGATTAACCCTACTAAACAGACAAGTTGCCCAATCACATATCCACTGAGCATTGCCCGCTCAAAGGAAACAACATCGGCTTTGTTCAGTTCCAAATAATTATTTGACAGACAGACCATTAAAACATCCAAGCTACTTTTAAAAAATATTAAATAAATGAAAAATATAAAATTTAATTTACTTTTCCCAATATATGTTAAATCCAAGGTATAAATTGGTAGAATTGTCAACAACCTATTCAATTAAGTCAATTAATTAACAAAAATAAATGTTTTATTGTAATAAATACTCACATGCATGCCGACCTACAAGACTGAAATCAGAAGCCTTCCTTAAGCATTAAGGCCAGCTGCTTCTCAGAAACAAAGAGTTTCCCTCAAAATAGATGAGATTCATTTGACACATTTGTCAATTAAATGCAAATGCAAAAACATTCACCAACTCTGACACATAAAATATACTTTAAACACATACACATCCTCGTTTGTGTAAACATACATAACATTTTCAACCAAATGTTCCCCCTTAATGAGATTTAAAGAGACCTAATGCTTCCAAAGTCACAAAGAGCAATTGAAACACTAATCTGAACTGTACTCTTACCACTGGAGACGAAATTCGACACCCAGGGCAATCACAGATTGGGGGATGTACCTGTAAAATTCCTTTGGACATAAGGGTCTTCAGACTTTTTCCTGCAAAAGAAAGGGAAAGTGAATGGATGGGGGGAAATTTTAAAATAATTCATTACACTGATAAATAATAACAATGTACAGAGATCTTGAAATTTACATTTACACTGCATTATTTTTCATAGGCTTGCAGACTGTGATGTTCATAATGAAAATATTGTGCTTTTTAACATCAATCATATCTATCAATCTAAATTATTGCTTAAAACATGTTTTTAAAGCAAACAAAAACCAAGATATTCCTAGATTTCGTACAATTTAAAATGTTCCCTTTATTTCCTAAAATCCTGAATTATAACTTTAGGTCAATGAAGTTAATCTGTGTACTAAGTGTGTCTGAGCTGGAATAACCAAACTGGTTCCTGGTGTGAGGTCAGCATGGTGGCGCAGTGGGCAGTTCTGTCTGACCCCATCAGGTGGGGGCTTTGAATGTCACCTCTGCAATCCGTGTATGAAGCTCTCTCATTGTCACACGGCTTCGGTCTCCTCCCACAGTCCCAAGACGTGTGTGTGTGTGTGTGTGTATCTGCCCTGTGATGGGCTGGCATCCCATTCATGGTATACCCCAATTTTGTGCCCTATGTTGTTTGGCACAGACTCCAGGCTCCCCCATAACTCTGACAAGGATAAGCATTCAGAATAAGGATGAATGGATGAATAATCCATTCAACTGCACCTGCCTTTACATCCCAATTAGACGTTAACGAATCGTGATGCGTCACCTCATCCTTGTTAGACCAAATATTTAGACACAATCATTAAACACACTCAGAATTGTAAGTAACGCTTTTCTTTCTCCTTTCCACCCCCTCCTCTGAGTTCTGGCAACCCCACCGATATTTACCAGCGCAGTCTAACTTGAATAAAGTCGAAACACAAAATGCGTAAAACTTCGTTTGTTCGTGCGAGTTCATGTCAAATCCGGACAGAATTCCACATATATACCACGGCACGATTCGTGAACTTTTATTATTATTGTTGTTGTTGGTATTGTTGTTGCTGCGACCATTCCTAATACAACATTTTAGCAGCAGTAAAATATAAATAAAACGACCTTAGCAAAACTAATTGTAGAAAACTTTCATATAGATCACTGTCTCATAGCCCGCAATTCAGCATTTTCACAAAGAACATTAACATGTTTCAAAATTAGTTACGTTATTCTGGCGATACAGATAAATACAGATAAAGTTACAGAAAATGTAGATCTGCGCACGAATGTCACCTTATTCCATCTGCTACACCAGTCCGTGTGCCTTATAGCCAAAGGTAGAATCGGACGTCTGTCTTTCTCTTCTTTTTGTCTCATTTCAGTGTTAAACTGCGCACTGGAGTTACTTTGAGTAACCCTTTACTTCCATAACAACATCAACCTCGGGGGAGCTAGGGGATGCGATCTGAGCATCGGATTTTATAAATAAGATATATAATAAGTTTACTGGTGTAGCACCTTTTCGTAAACGGGTGTCCTTGCGTAGCAGGGCAGAGTATTGGGGCTTACCTTTGTGCCTGATACTACGTTTCCAGTCTTTAGCGGTCTCCCGTCCGCTAACAAACTGGAACTCGTTCGGGGTGAGCCACTCTCCCCTGTATTTAATCGAAGGTCCCTTGCTGCCTTGGCACAGTTTGTTGATGTACAGCAAAGCTTTATTTTCTCCACATTCCACTTCAATGCAAGGTTCCCCGTTGTCAAAAAAGGGTTGGAAATCGGGGATGGAGGAGAACCTCTCCAGCATTAAGTCTTCGGGGTAGTGGTGGAGGTGCTGGTGATGCAGCGCTGTATCCTGTAGTCCCAAGTAAGCGCGGTGATGGGCGAAAATCTGTTCGTAAGGCGGCGGATGAGGGGTCACCACAGGGAGAGCGCTGCTATTTAAAGGGGCCAGGTAGTCGGGTTGATTTAAGGCAGCCAAAGCCATGTCATCTCCATCCAGTATCTCCTTTTTGATTGCGGGCATGTTACTGAAATCGCGACGTGGGTGAACTAGTGCTCGGCAGTTCCCCTCCACTTAACTTGCACGTCCTCTTTTCGGAGTTGGTCCGCACCTAAATCCAAGACGCGCCACTTTTGTTTAACGCAGATCCCCCGCGTCTCTCTACAGCAGCGCAGCATTGAAGTTCAGCAGTAGGTTTCCATTCAGTCGTCAGCCCTGCGTGGAGCGGCTCTGCGCGGGGCTCACAGCGGCGCTCGCATGACGGCTGTCGCTGCTCCCCTGCCCACCACAACTAATCTGACTCCCACAACTAATACCTGGCCTCTTACGGAAAACTCAGCCGCTGTGGGCATCCTGGGGCTTAAAATACTTGAATAATTGATCCTTTATCGACTTGCGTCTGAGAGACTTTATTTCATAGGTACCTCCCTTTCGTCATTTTATTCTCATCACTTCTTCCTGAATTGTGATTATCCAATTTTATGTTGCGTGAACCTATTTATCTATGGTATGCTACTATTCAGTAAAAGAGAAACACTTAAATTCATCTATCCATTTCGAATATTAACATCAACATAACACCATAATTTAATTTTTGCGTTATCATATTAAAAACAGTCACGTTTAAAAGTTATTTCTGTCAATATTTTTTTTATCCCACGAGCAACTCCTGTACCTTGCGTATTTGACGTGCTTTTTGCAAATATTACTGTGTAAGTATATTTTTTGGGCTATTTTAACTCGATTTGTGTCTCAGAGGTCATGCTTTAGTTCAGAAACCTAGACCAAACAAGATTTCCACTCTTCGCCGCTTGTCCCATTTAAACAGCGCTGGCTTTGCTAGCACGAAAGGGACGGGGGGGGGGGGGGGGGGGTTCCGACGGACGCCGTCATTGCGCTACACGTGGGATAGCGATGTTTTGCAATATGACGGGAAATCGAGAATAAGGTATTATAAAATAATAAATAGTTGGTCTTGTTGTTTTTCTTAAAAATAACAAAATGAATTTTTGCATATCCACGCACGTAGGAATATATATTCACTTAATCAACACCTAATTAGCTTTCCCCGGTATTGCTGAATTGTTTTGCTGATACACGGAACTATACATCAGCAGTAATGACCATGAAATAAGCTGAGATATATAAATAAACGCTCGTCACATGACCAAAACAGGTTTCCAGTTATTCCAATTCTGTCTAGCAAATGTTTCAGGGTGACATTGCTAAAGTCCATTGTTTAATGGCGATTTCTACATTGTACAAATTCCTAGCTATACTGCGTCTGATTGTTCTTGAATGCAGTGGTGTTGTCCGTAAAAACTACACCCCAGCGTGTCCACATGTAGCCTACATTGATATCAAGAGGGTGCCACTGGAGGGCTTACTTTGGTCCCATACTACCTAAAAGGGCGAGCCAAAACAACAAGTTACAAATAACCCGATACTTCATACATGATCTGTCCCCTAAATGTATGTACAGTATAACGTTTCATGTTGTTGCCATACATTGCTACATTATGGGCTCAATGGAAAGTACTCGATTATATCAGAGGTGTTTAAACATCAGACTTTTTTTTACAAATTAGTCTGCAAATACCTCCTTTTAAAATGATAATCAGTAACATTTCTCTGGGGAAACAGTCAGGTTCAAGGTGACGCGAACTATTTTGGAGATAACTGTGAAAGTGACACTGTACATATTGGGTTTCCCCTGTGGGGGGACACCCCTTCTCTGTACACCCACGACCCGACCGAGCCCGTGATTCATGTGTTCCGGAGACGGGACTCCCTCAGTACTTTTGACACGGGATGTTCCCGCTGAACTCCGAGGTCACTTACTCCTGCCATAGAGACTATCTATACAGGTCCGGCATTCACTTGTTTTTTTTCCTATTGTTTGAAAGGGCAATGGATAAAGGTGTGACTTGCCCTGTACTTAAGATAGGACAGGATTTCATAAAAAATATATTTTATTTAATATTAATCTTCTTATAGTAGCAAGACACGTGAAATTGTATTATAAATGTCAGTACATTGTAAATATCCCTTGTTATAAGGGATAACAACTACAACAACTATTATGATAATTCTTATTATTAGTACTATTATTATTATTATTATTATTATTATTATTATTAAAGGAAAAATAAAGAAGCAGAAAACATCTTTTTGTTGAGTGTTGTCGTAAGTAGAAAAGTTCCCTTGAAGAGCCCCCGCCTCCGCTTCGTCGCTGGCAACCGCCGCGGAGCCGCAGAGCTGCCGCCGGGGAAGGGAGGTAATAAATAACCCGGGGAGGAGAGTGGAGACCGCCGGGCGGTGCACAGTCTGACCTGACAAATACTCACTGGAAAACCATCAGAGAGGGACAGCCCACCCCTAGAGCTTGGAGCCAGTCTCTCAGACACGAGGCAAAATATATCCATCCTGGAAAAAGCGGCGTCTCTCCCCGCTTGCTGCAATCTTTTGCCATCATGAGGTCAAGTCAATTTCAGAAATGGATAAGAAATTAACAATTTCACTGGATTTGCTAATAGTTAAACTCGATTTTTTTTTTCGTTATTGAAGTTTCCTAATTATTTTCTATAGGCTAATTAAAGATTAGCGTAGGATATTGAAATCAAATTTATTTTATTGCCATTTTCCTATTTTGAAGGTATAGATTATCCTCAATGCCTCTATATACCATTTTAAATACACACATAATATGAATCAGGGTTCAACATCGAAATGCCAAGATTTGCACAAGTAACAGCATTGTTAATGAAAGTGGTTCATGTGATAGATTGTCTATAAAAATGATACCGTCTTGTTTTAGAACTTCTGCTCCTAACCATGACTTCGATTGGTTCCTTCATCCAAGAATGTATGGCATCTTATTACCGAACGCCGGTGTGTATGGTCTTTCCTGTTCTGCTGGTGATCGGCCGCCATACCATCAGACACACAGAAGATCAGTTGGTTTATGTGGTCGTGCTAACACCCTTGGCCTCTTACGGCAGATCGCAGTGGTCAGCCAGTTGTCTCCGCTGCCCAGCGGCAGCCCTAACTCACAGGATTTATCTCCTCACTGGATGGGTTGCCAGCCAGCACTGCAGGATATTCATTTTAGGCCTGTGTCTGTAGCTGTCAGCACTGAGAGAGAAAGGGGGCCTGCACACGACACCCAAAGCGTCTGCACACATCTCCCCAGAAAAACACCCCCTTTGGAGGTCCACACATGCCCTCTCACACACCACCCACAAAGTAGCCCCAAAATAGCCACCAAAGGCATTAAGGGCATCATTCAGATGCTGTTACAACCTTATGTGATTGTTTATCTGGTCCAGGTTTAATATATAATTCTTAAAGCTGGGATTACAATTTGGAGATTCTGTTCTTCGGTATTTCTCTGGATGTTCCTTCAACATTCATTTCATGCCAGCATCCAAGGTTCAGCAGCCCCCACAGAATGGGTGACTTTAAATGTGCCGATATGGCACTAATGTATTTTAGTTTGTGTTACAGCAAACAGAGTAAGATGTCAAAGGACCAAGTTGTCGAGTAAGAGAGATGGATTTGAGAGGCACAGTCAGGCGTTAATGTAAAATCCGAATCTCATCAGATGGCAGCTGGGATCAGGATCTGCTGCCTGACCTCTGCAGTGACTATGGCCATTGATTCCTTGGAGGGACATTGTACCCTGAATGTTTTCTGCATTTCCCCACAGACAGCAACCAAAGGTCCTCAGCAAGACTGGGAAAGTGGAAACGCTGCCCAGTGTATTTCTCAACACCAGAATATAGATGAAACACCGCCCACCTACTGGTTTCTGTGCCTTATACATGCCAAACTGAGAGCTTATAGTGCTGAAGTAAACGACAAAGGGAAACAACATAGAAAATATGGCTGGCTACCAAATTATTCGGACCATAATTATTTAAAACGCTTTTCAAATGCCACCTGAGCAGAGATGTAACAGGCTTAGCTGAGTGGATCAGAAATGGCGAAGCATAAGCAATCATTTTGAAAATGCATTAATTTTAAGCTGAATATTCACATTGAAATATATAAACTCGGAAAACCATTTAAAAATACTTTTTGAAAAGGTGTTTTTTATAATGTGAATATAATGTATTCTGGTGAGACTGTGTGCCTGGCGGAGCTTATGGGAGTCGCGTGCACATGTTTTCCCGCGTTTATGTGAGGCAGTGACAGCGCCATTAATTATTAGTTTCTTATCTCTGGAGCAATTCATTTTTTATGGGCTTCATTATCTGCGGTGCCTCCCATAACACCAGAGCCAAAAACTTTGTGAAAATTAGATTCACTACATAGGAATCATCCTCTAAACACACGACGGTTGAAAAGTTCCAGGTAGTTCACTAATTTCTCCAAACGTCTCCTGCCTTAGGGGTTTCAGAAGCTCCAGCCAGCTAACGAGTGAGTGGCTATAGGATGCAAATCTTCACCGAAAATGTGCCCGGGAGTAACATCAAATAATTATTTTCATACGGCGATCGCATTAAGGTTTCGGGTCTGGTACATTTCTGGTATCATAAAATCTGACAGAAGCTGAAAAAACCGGTTAATTCGTTAACATGTATTCCATATTAAGAGCAAAATACAATGCCATAAAATACATCTAGACCCTCACCTATGGCTCAAACGTGTGGTCTAGTAAGAGTTAAATCCGTGTGCGGAAACAATAAATTCCTGATCTTCCAGCTCCTATTGATTTTTTTTTCTGTGTGATACGAAACCAGCAATCAGCTTTGCAGTTAGAAATTGCCCTGAAACCGGAGCCGAGACGTCGATGAGCCGGCGACACGTTTCAATTAGAGAGCCGCCCGGGCCGGCCTGTCCCCCGGGGCGCCTTGGCTCAGTCACGCCCCACAGCCGCCGCCGCCGCGGCGCTCCGGGGGGCGGAGAGTGCGGGGGCTGGGAGGGGGAAGCAGGCAGCAAAGGAAAAAATTGATGAAACATTATTCCTCCTACTCGCATAGCACACAGCCATGTTTTATGGTGCTTTTCAGCGTTATTTACTTATACATACATACACGTCGGTGTTTCCTGCGTTTAATGGTGCCTGTTAATTAATTTTTCAAGCGCGTCTTTTGTAACATTTATTGTTGTTAAATTGCATTCGTTAACTCGACTTTACATATGAAAAGAAAATATCTAGTAATAATACTATTAGCAGTAGTAAGGATTAGGACAGTACAGTCGCTGTTGTTGTTGTCCTTGTTGTTGTTGCTATGGACAGCGGGAGGTGTTGGTAATTAAGGGCACAGAAGGATCCTAATCCAAGGCCCGGGACCCTGCCATTATACTCGGAACTGAACCATAATTGTTCCAATAAAACATTTGTCTGTGTATATATGTAACTGTAAAAAGAGTATGTTACCCAACAAAATGAGTATTAAATACTTTACTCTAAGCTATATGTATTGGCTTGTGTATTCTTTATTTTTTATTTACTGAGTAGTAGTAGTAGCAATAGGCATTTCTTGCATGAGAACCTTAAACTTTAGGCACTTTGGCCTCCCTGAGCTATTGGTCTGACCTTGAGGGAGAGCTAACCTAACCCCCCCACTGTGCCTAACCCTAAACCCCCCCCATGTGCCTGCCCTCACCCCTGTCAAAAC